ATAAATCTTACCTAATTTGTCCGGTAAAATTTTCTCTAACCAAACAACTTTTTTTACATTTTTCTACCAAACTCACTTTCCAACCATTTTTCTATCAATTACATTTCTCTAGTATTCAAAAAATTTCTCCTCAACTAAACGCCCCCTAGGGTGATGAACATTTCTTCGAGGGACATTTTCCTGCCCTGTGTAACTCTCAATGTCACATGTAGCTAATTTTGAACACTTTTTTTTTTAGAAGTCGAGGCTCATCACTGAAATTATTTATTAATAATAACACGGGCTAAAAACACTAGATACATCAGCAAATAACAACAGCCTAATGCTTGGAAGGGATGTATAGAACTAAATTAACTACATCACGATGATCAAGAGAGTAATTAGCTAACTAATCCGCACAATGATTGCTTTCTCCATAAGCATGTTTGAACTACTTTCTAGTTCTTATTGACTTATGCTCGTATTCGAGTTAAAAGCCTTAACTCCCAAGCTGCATCATCATCTTTAGTGAGTAGAGTGATAGCGTTTGCCGAATCAATTTCTAAAATTATATTTCTCCAGCCTTTTTGCCAAACTAGTTCCAGTCCTTTCAGGATACGTCAAAGCTCCAAAATAAGAGCTGTGCAGAATCCAACATAATACGTAAAGCCGTTAAACCATTTACCATTTTCATCTCTGATTAAACCACCGGAAGCTCCCACACTTGGATTTCCTCGCAAAGCTCCGTTTGTGTTCAATTTCACCCAACCCGTACTAGGGGGGTCCCACAATCCCATCTAATAGCTTCCTGAACATATGAAGGTTGTGGACCACTCCTGGTAGAAGCCTCAAACGTCTACGAGGAGCCTAATAATTTTGAACACTTAATTACTATTGGCTTTGAGATTTCATTTAATTCCCAACGTTATCATTAGTTACTAATTATTGTAGAATTGAATTGATTGAATTATAAGCTACGAGTTTGAGCCGCACCTTGTGTAAGAGGTTGTATTAAAAATATTAATATAAAATTATTAAAGTAATCAACACTTATTATTTTAAGGTTTTTTGTTGAAATAATTATTTACACTCTTAAAATTTAAAAGTCAATTTTATTGATTCAAAACTAATTATTGATGGCACAAAAAAAAAAAAAAAACTCACTGCTATGCATTCGCGTTAGTTCAAATTAATAATCAGTTGTGAAAGACTCTGACTTTGTCTGAGTGTTTTGAATTTTAACATAGATTCGATTAGTTTAGCATCGATATAATTAGTGCGAGCAAATGTCATTTGTTTGAAGGAAAATGTAATTCCTTCACTTAAGTTTTAGCAAATTACAAACATCATCTTAATTTTGAAAAATAATTACATAAAAATGGACATTAATCATCATAATTAATCATCATAATAAAACAAATAGGGTTTAATGTTTCTATTTTTGTTATAGAAAAAATTTCTAATTCACACTTATATAAAAATGAGTGGATCCTACTAATATTTTCTCTTTCTTCTCTTTACAACGAGAACTACTATTTTTACGTGAGTGTAATTTTCTGGGCTTTTTGACCATAGTAATCTCTTGTTTATAAGATTTGATTGGAATAATTTCTTGGTCAAACTTATCACCTATGTAATGCATAATGACACGCATTAATGGAACCGTATTAAGACACGGCATTACGAGAACCGCGTCCTTCACAATTGAACTGCCAATCGCGCGAAAATCAGTGCTGCAATTAATGACTCTGAAACACGGCAGCTTGGGTACCACGTTTATGAGTGTCAGGATGGGACTGGGATGCGGTAGTTTTTATACCGCGTTTACGAGTTGCCAAACTCCCATTGCCGTCAATATAAATTGCATTTCGAGAGCAATTTTTTTTTCCAGTAGTATGGGGACGCGGTAGCTCAAGAAAGGTGAATTTTTTTTTTTCCAGCAATCTATTAAGCTAGGATTGCAGTCTGACATTTATGTATTTATTTTAGTATTACATATATTTAATTTAAAATTAAGCTAGGATTTTAGTGTTTTGTTACGGTTATTTAATAGATGTAGATAAAAAAAAAATTGTTCTTTAAAATAAAAAAATTCTACATTATTAAGCCTAATAGATGTAAAATGATTAAAATAAAATGTGTGTTATTAAGCTTAATTTTCTTTAACATATAAAACTAAATAAGAATATAAATAAATGTCAGATAAAAAAGTTGAGCTTAATAATACTTACCTGAAAGGTGAGGAAGAAAATATTGGTTATATAATTTAAAATTTTGTTATATAATTTATAGCCCTCTTGTTCATTGTTGCTAGTACACTATGTGAATAAGATTGGTTCACTGGACTATTTGCAATTAGGATTGATATTTATTTATACTTTTTTATCTGACATTTATATATATTCTTATTTATAAATAAATAAATATAAAAATAATACTTTTTATATTTATTTATTTATAAATAAATAAATAAATAAGAATATTTATTTATATTCTTAAATAACCGTAACAAAATACTAAAATCCTAGCTTAATTTTAAATTAAATATATGTAATACTAAAATAAATAAATAAATGTCAGACTGCAATCCTAGCTTAATAGATTGCTGGAAAAAAAATCACGTTTCTTGAGCTATCGCGTCCCCACACTACTGAAAAAAAAATTGCTCTCGGAATGCAATTTATATTGACGGCAATGAGAGTTTGGTAACTTGATTTAAGGATCAGTGTTAACGTAAACACGGTATAAAAACTACCGCGTCCCAGTGATTCTTACACTCATAAACGCGGTAGCCAAGCTGCCGTGTTTCAGAGCCATTAATTGCAACACTGATTCTCACGCGATTGGCCAGTTCAAATTGTGAAGGACGCGGTTCTTGTAATGCCGTGTCTTAATACGATTTCATTAATGCCGCATCGTTATGCATTATATAAGTAATAAGTTTGACCAAGAAGTTATTGCGGTCAAAACTTATAAAAAAGAGATTACTTTAGTCAAAAAGCCAATTTTCTATAACAAAAACAAAAACATTTTTCTCAAACTGATTTTATGCCTGAAGACAAAAGAAATAATTAATGAAGGTAAGTGAGCCAAGAAAAGTGGGGGAAAAAAGGACAAGTTCTTGTTCCGCGTGGTGAACTCAGATCATGTAGATCATTTTGACAATCGAGCGCTAATTGCGCCGAGTTAGTGGCGGCAACTCGTGCAGTGACTCGATTAAGTAGCATCCCAATTTATTATTAATCCTAGGGTTCTAATTACACACTGCTTCACCCTCAAATAAAGCAACTTTCTATCTTACTCTGTTATATTTAATCTCATTTGTATGTCTGTATTAGTACATTTACCATGAGCTTCTCTGCAAGTTTGATATATAATATTGAAGATCCGAGAGCAATAATGTTAAAAATCTATATAATAAATAATATGTGCCTAAAATTGCAAAATGAATTTACCTATTTCCCCCTTCCTTTAATTTTAAATGATGTATATTAATTTGGACTCAGATAATGACTGACCTATCACATGGCATTCGATTGGATAATGTCTTTCACATTTCTTGTCTGTTCTTCTTTGCTCTTGTAGTCTTATTATCAATTACTTTCTTAGTTAAAGTATATCTGTAATTATTCTCTATTTTCAGGTAGAAAACTCACATTCCCTCATCAGCTTTCACATGGAACCTTTTTTCTTTTATTTTATTCATATGGATCTAAATTATCTGTCTGGATGAGAAAGGGGAACAGAAGGGCAAAAATTGCGAAAAAAAAGTGGGACTGAAAAAAATAAGAGGATTTATGTTCTATTAAAAAAAAAAAGACTTTCAAATGATATTTGAATGAATTTACAATAAGGGAGGATTCAAAGGAGAATTGTTTTTCTCCCTTGATCACGTGAAAACATTAGAGAAAATAGAGCATTATAGCATGAAATGATTTTTTTTCCTCCCCATATAATAGTAATGTGACAATTATGCTTGACATTATTATATAGTTAGAGGAATAAAAGTGTCAATTCAACAGGCCTTTAGAAATTAATTGTCAGGGAAAATGAGAATGACTTCCCTATTTTTTATCCTAATTAACACGGGGGGAAATTTATTGAATGAATTTTAAAAGATAAAGTCTTTATCAATGTTGTTTTTATTTTTATTTTTTGTCTTTATCAATATTAGGCATAATTATAGATGTACAATTTTTGGTGCGGGCTCAAGGACAATTTTTGTCCCTCTTATAATTTTGATTAGATTAAATTTATTTTAAGCACTTATAAAGAACTGTGGTTTCTGAGAAAGAATTAAGGTTTGAATTATGAAAATAAATTAGTTTCACAAAAAAAAAAAATTGATACTTTGCGCTAAAATGATATATACTTGACTTATCATTGGGTTAGTGCTATATAATATAGGGTTCGTCGTTTCTCCTTTCGCTGCTGATGAGAAAAGTTGTAGCAAATTATTAACACTAGGATACGGGATCGTATCTTGACCTAAAAAAAAAAAAAACACATCAAGATTCAGACGCGTATCCTGATAAAAATAAGTGTTGCTGTATTTTTTTCCATCTGCAGTGTCAGAAGAAGAAGTATATAACCCTATAATATGAGGTAGGATCCTTTGACACCGGTGTCAAATTTAAAGTTTGACACCTCATATGAGAGCCGTTAGATCAAAAAATATCAACGACTCTGATTTGTAAGCATCTGACACCATTGATATTTTTTGATCTAACGACTCTCAGATGAGATGTCAAACTTCAAATTTAACACCGGTGTCAAAGGATCCTACCCCCTATAATATAATGCTAATGACTGTATTTTTTAATAGGAAAATAGCACTTGTATCGAAACTCCTCACGCTTCCATTTAAATCATTAATATTGATATATATACTAAACACACTCTCAAACAGAAGTATCTTTTCTTCCACATGTCCAGATGGTCTATCCATTCCAATACAATTTTTACATGATAGAGAGAGAAGACTACAATGATATACAAATTTAGGTAAGAAAATAAAGATAACCGTCCATGATACAATTCTAGGTTGAGAAAAATAAGATCAACCATAATACATAAAAAAATACACATATGAACATCATATATGTAAAGAAAAACACAGCTCCCAATACAATATGAAGACAAGGGTATTGAGATTGATACCCATATGTTAAGGGCCAAAGGTTGGTCTAATAACCCTTTATCATCTTACCCGTGTGTGTCATCCTCAAGTGACACAGGAATTCAAGAGGGCACATTGAAGTGAAAAAGCCAAGATATGACAAAGGCAAATACCATACAGGCTAGCAGGAAATTCAAAAAACGGTGGCCCTGCCAGAAATTTCGAGTTTCTGGAGGGGGTGCAGGTCCAGTTGGTGGTACCATGGAAGCATCATTTGCTTCATTCCATTGTTCTGTCATTTGAACTTCAATAGCACCAGCTACATTGCGTGCAATTGATCCACAGATTTCACAAGTTCTGTTAATCATTCAAGTCAAATTATTAGTCCAGTTAACAACTAAAAGTGAAACATTAGTGCAGCACTAATTTTTTAGTAGTTTAAAAACACAATATGTTAATAGAAGTAAACCAACTGCAAGCTGCATTCAATATGTGTGATAAACCCATGATTCAGGTACTGCTTAAAATCAGTTTGTTGCAGGCTAGAAACCAAATGTAAATATACACATTTTTCATCAGTGCAAAAATCATCTTAAAATAAGTCATACACAATCTTATCTCTCCAACCTTTCGCACCCCACAAAAATATGCAATTACATGGGCAATATATTGATGATGCATATAATGAAAATTATTGGTCTTGAGCCATATTTTACCCAAAAACAAGCAAAGCCAAAGAAACCATAACAAACCATTTTTCGAGAATTACAGATAAGAGTTTCTGAGATGCTTTGAAGCCCCAGTTCACTTTAATCGGTCTAAGTTTAGAATATATAATCTCAGAAATAACAGCACATGATCATTGACTTGCAAAGCTCTGCCGTCATTTTTTAATGTTCCTGTTTGTGTTTGGGCTGGGAACAACTTACAAAGAAGAAAATTGGCAAAGGAAAACAGTTAAGACACATAGGAGAGTTTATTTGTTAGAAACTAAAAATTAGACTATCCCGGAAAATATGGATAAACAATTATGCATAGAATTGTGTAACTGATTCATTGTTAACGATCTTGATACTTCCCAGTGCCAGACTTTCTGGTGTAATTTCATACCTAGAGAACTTCCAAACAAAAGGATGGAAGTAAAGCAGTATAACTGACCCAATGCAACTATGCAAGTATATGTTGGGTAAGAAAAGATGATCTTGAGCATAATATTGTTAACTAATGATATGGTCAAAGTAAACCAAGAAAATCAGCACTAAGGAAAATGGAAGCCAGAACGTATAAAGCTCAACTGCACATCAGAGTCATACAACTTTGCAACACAAGTAATTTAAAAATCCTTAAAATTGTTATCAGATGAAAGTAACTAATAGATTTTGATCCCATAAAGACTATCATTTGTCAAGCCACTAAATCCAGCTCAAATTAAATGAAGAGAAACACTCCCATTATTTGCTATAAATGAAATAGAAACTAGGGTAAATTTAAACACGAAAAAAAAAAATAAAAAAATTAAGCCATTATGTTCATCTTAATATTATTCTCTAATCTCTAGTAACTAAAACTCTTATAAACTCAGTATTTCAGTTCATACTAGTAAATATACAATTTACAAAGGGAAATAATTATCTCATGCAACAGAGACAAAGTAGTGGGGTCCACCATTTATAAAAAAAAAAGAAAAAAGAAAAAAATAATATAGACCCCACTACTTTATCTCCGTTGCATGAGATAATTATCTCATGCAACATGAGATTAATAGATCCCATTTACAAATAGACTAGAGAATAAAGTGTCATAAACTTAGGATCAAACATCAAATAATTCAACATGCACAATCTATCATAACAAATTCTCCTCGCAGTAAATGCACTAATCCTTTCAGACTTCAACTTTATTTCTTTACATTCAATTAATATGCTCATAATGAAAAGGCCAGAGTAAGAAGCTGTCATAGAGAACATTTCCTTATTAACATCTTTTTTCTTTTGTGATTGTTAGTTTCTCCTACCGGTTGAATTCAAATTAGTGACTTGTTCTTATGGCTTTGTGTTTAGCTTTCCCACTCCTAAAAGAACGTTTTTCTTACTTTTTTGAGAAATTGAACAGTATAAAGAAGGAAAGATCATTCAGAATCAGGGGAATGACCTAGATCCAGCAATCTTTAATGTTTCTTCCAACAGTTTAACCTTCAGATTTATGCACATTCAGCCCATATCTAGGTTTTCTGAAACTTGAGGCAGACATTAAAAACGCATGCCTTAAAAGTTGCTAAAGTGAAATTGTACAAAGTAGAGACTCATAGTTCAGCTTTTACAACCACAAAGCTCATAAAAGAATCAAAACTCAAAAGCTTCACAAAATCTTACAAAAAAAAAATGGCCTATTTCAATGGTCCAACTTGCACATGATAGTTGGCCAGCACACCAAACACTGCAATGCCAATGACCAACAGATATGAGAAATTGGCTTTACTGTAAGTCTCGCTGAAAATCCATATATGCTCATAATATATGAATCTTTTTAACGCATTTGTGTTTTACACACATTTGACCAATTTGAAATTCAAATTCTGCAACTTAATTTTGATAAAATGAATTATGAGTAAGACAAAAGATCACGCAGAAACTCTGCATATATGATATGGTCAACTATAAACCTAGTCAAGAACCACACACACAAAAAAAAGAAAAAAGATTTTATTTGAATCAGGATAAAAACAACATAGACAAAGGTTACTTTTAGGAGGAGGTTACCACTACAAGGGAAGGACCAGACACAATGAAAGATCAGTGAGGCAAAATAAACTGCCAAGAAAACTTTGTTATGCCCTATTTAGAAGTAAAGACTTCCAAAAAACTGTGATTTAAAGGTCAGTAACATATGGGATGCCTAAAGTTTCATACTTGCTTGCAGTTTAATAAATTTAGTGCTGACCAGAAGAGAAAGGCCAGATCAAATCAGATCCGGAATAAGTATATTTGACCATATAGTGCAATTTTTTGGTATGCACTCCACTATAAAATCACCTGCGATAAACAAACATACAAATGACTAAACTGTTTTTGCAGATACCCAATAAGGCAACACTCTCCGGTCTTTCTACCTTCTCATATTTTTGTTAAACCAAGCAAGTGTAAAGTGATTTTCATTCCAAATTTTCCAATTTCCATCTACTCAACCAAGCAGAACCGTACAACTATGTGTTTGATTTCCCAAAGACTATTTTTTCTTTCTTTGAACCAACACTTCAATTATCATTTAATTGACTTTTGAATTTGGAAATTGCCAGAGCCCATCTACAATAGAAGATGAAAAACAGGTGAACTATTACTTAAAAAATGCAGGTATCACAAATGTGCTAAGTGAACGATACACCTATTCATGGCTCTTTTTTCTTAAAGGAACCAACAAATACAATGACAGCAAACACCATGTAGGTATCTTATGGTAGTCAAAATCCAATCTGTTTACAAGCAACAGAATAGAGAGTTAGAGAAACAAATCAAAGAAATATTGGAAATATTGATATGTATGCTTGGCTAGTTGGACCTGCAAATAGGATATTTAAGCATTTAATCTTTACATAAACCCATTTTGGAATAATGTAGCTTAATTTAGTTTACATTATATCCTTCTGTTTGCAAAAGAAGAATCAGATTCGCACTCCACTATTAAGACATCTCATCATGCACGGTCCTTTAACCCGCATTATCCCAAGTCCTCTTCGCATCATATGCATATACGCCAAGGATAAGCAGCAGATAGTCAAGTCAAATAGCTCCAAATTGTAGCATGGCCACCGAAGTGACTCATTCATAATTTCACCCAAATAGCAAAACATAGCAACTCAAATAGTAGGTAGTACTCATCAATCTCACAAATTCACGACACATGAAGATCAATACTTTGCTCAGACACAAGGAAGCATAAAAAAAACCAAAAACATAATAAGTTTCTTTCAAAGTATTACTCACTTGTTTCCCTTGATTTTGAACCAAGCCTCAGCACACTGTTTGTGAGCAGCAGCCAAATCATCCTTGCAAGAGCATCCCAGCTCAATGGGAGTCCCAGATTCATGATTGGTCATATCCATGCTGAGATGACAAATCCTACAATCCCTCTCAACCTTAGCCAAATGCAACTTGACATCATGAAATGCACCGTCCAGATCCACATCCACAGAACACTCTGATGCAGAGGATCCTCTCTCTTTTTCAGACACTCCCACAATCTCGGTACTAGAATCATGGGAGGATCTTTGCTCCTCATCTGACCTGTCTCCGGCTTCAGAACACCCTTCAGTGGCTCCGCCGCCGACCAAGCTCCGATGACAGACATTGTCTATGTCAACAACAGCATGACACTCGTCCTCACTAACCAACATTTTGAAAACGCAAGTTGAGAATCTTCATGTAATGACAGAGGGAGGCAAAGATCATTAATGCCCACCAAGTTTTGAAGAAGAAAGTTTGGACTTTTCTGAACCTCAGCAGAGGAGATGCAAGATTGATGTGAATGGTGTGCAAGGTTTTAAGCAACACGTTACTTTAGTGTGGTAGTTGATCTCTCTCTTCTGAGTCCCTGACAGGACTTGATATAGAGAGAGAGAGAGAGAGAGAAAAAAGATAGCATTATGATTATGCGGTGATCTGATGGGGAAAATTTAGCAAAAAAAATCTCCCCATATTTTTGTTTGTTTGTTTCTATGTTTAAAAATAAAATAAAATTGGTTCTTGGAAACCAAGCTGTGTTTCAAAGCATAGGTTTTTTTATGTCTTCCCATGTACATGTCTGTGACACAATAACAAGCAAAAGAAACCTTAAAACAGGAGAGATTCTTCAACAGGGGGTCATGGTGATGAGGTGAGGTGACAAGGTCTAATGGGTTCTGAGATAAGTGGGCCCCACCTTTCTTTTTCTATTGATAGGAAGTTTTCTACTCTGGTCTCTCAAATAATGAGTGCAAGGGAGCAGAAAATGCAAGAAAGAGGAAAAAAAGGGAAAGGAAAATGAGGATTCAGAATGAATTTGAAGTGGCTTCTTATGATAGAGGACAGGTCACCTAAAAAGCTCTTTCTTTTGTTACTGGCACGAACAGATAAATTTGTGAAAAGCACGAAATTCTTTGTCCTCTTCGGTTCACCGTTTTTCCTTTTCGTTTATCTTTCTTTCTTGTTTAATTTTCTTAATTTCTTTAACCTTTACTTAATTGGAAATGAAAATAAAAATATATAGCAACTGAATGGATGACAACGAAGATAACACATAAACTTAGGTTTCTCTGATTCATGCATTACTTTTTAAAAATTTAAAATTATTTTGTTAATAAATTTTCACAATTTATGCAACATCTTATTGACATTTTTTTAATTAGTCTATTGTGATGAAATTGTTAAATGAAAATTTGTATTATTATTTAATAATATGTAACTATATTATTTATTAAATTTAATAATTTATGTTATTAAGTTTATAAAATAATATGACAATATATTATAATATACAACTTTAATATACTTGAAAGCGCATACAAATTGAATTCACTTTATTTTAGTAGTATATGTAATTTAATGCCTCCCTTGTACGAGCATTGTGGAGCCTGATTTTCCATGACATAGCTAAAATTTAAGGCAGCAGTCAATACTGTCCTTACACTTTGACAAAATAAATTATGATTAAAATATGGGTCCTATGTACCAAAAAAAAAAATATGGGTCCTCGGCTTATCCTCTCAAAAGAAAAAGAGATTTTTTTGTGACAATAAAAAATAATTATATCTTATCGATAAGATATAATTATAATATTAAAAAAAAATTCTATCACATCAATCGACAGCTTTTTAAAAAGAGAAAAAAAAAACTTTTAAAATTATAAATTTATAACTACATTTTATTAGTAAGACATAATTATTTTTAGTTGCTAGAAAAAGATCACTTCTCTTCCCTTAAAATATATTTTGTTTTTATACCTCACTTATATTTAATCCAATTTTATATAAAAAAGTTATTAAATAAATAATATTATTATAAAAATTTCCAGCAGTACAAGATAACAAACTCCAACTATACTTCAGATAAAATTAAATGATTTAACCATAAATTAATTAGAAAAAACCTATTCTTATTTCGATATAATAATAATAAATCTTCTTAGTCGTTAATTTTTGATATCTTACGATTATAATGTTTTAAGAATTAATAATTAATTAATGAGAATAACCCAATTAATCAGTCATTTGATGGACGGAAATCAAATGTAAAAATTAAGTGTCAAATTTAGTATTCTTACACTAATATAAATTGATCTTGTTCCGTGTGTCTATATATATATATATATATATATATATATATATATATATATATATATATATATATATTCTACTTTTCTCTCTGTTCTTTCTATGTGCAATCTTCAACTCTGGATTCTGATAGCTGGGCAGAGCCTCCAACTTTTCTTTGTAGTCTATGTTGCACGACACAGGACATGAAACACGACACGATATTCCGATACATTAATTCTAAAAAATATTATATTTCGACACGTTAGAATATATTTTAATATTAAATAATATTTTAAATTTATGTAGTGTATATTATATTTAATATTCAATAATTTAATAAAAAAATAAAGCTAAACTTATAATACCCATCAATTTTACAAATAAATGTAAAATATTCAAAATATTTATATTAAACTCAATAAAATGATAATCGTAATTTACAAATTTAATAGTTGGAACTAAAAACGCAATGCAACACAAATTTTAAATATTTTTTTAAATTTCTACCACGTATGTTAAAATGTAAATTGTCAAAATATCATATAATATCAAAAAGTGTTCAACACAATACATTAGAATTTTTGAAATATCAATGTATGGGCTTCATTGTAATCTGCTATCTCCTCTTCAGCTCTGCTGCAAGTTTTCGTCCGTTCTAGTTTTATTATTATTATTATTAATAGTACGTAGACTAGTAGTGGTGGTTGAAGTAATAATAATATAGTAATATTGAGACACTGATTTGTCGGGCTGATATTGCAAACCATGTTGGTTAGTAGAGAAATATAAGAAGAATAATATTCCATAAGAAAGGTATCTTATATTAGAAGTAGAATACTTTTATTATTAATTATTATTATTATTATTTCATTATTATTGTATTTAAATTTTCTTTTCTTTTCTCTCTCTTTATTTAATTTTTTCTTTAATCCAATGATAATTAGATTAATAATGAAATGATCATAGTAGAAAATATTGATAATAAGAATATCCTATCTCCTTATTTTATACATCCATAGAATTTTGAGCTAATTTTTTTTTAAGAAAAAAAAATTATAAACCCTACATATTTATCTCACCTACATAAAAGCACTATCTCTAATTACATGAGATTAGTAAATCCCTCGGCCTCGTTATTAGTTTAGTTGAGTTTTGCATTCTCTCAATCGAAAAGTATTGAAAATGCTCAAAAATGTGCCTTTGGTTCAATTATTTGTATGGTGATTCTGTCTTCATATTTATATGTTTTGAATTTCTGCTTTTAATTTCTCCAAGAATCACTGTCACGCACTCATGTCTCACAATGTGGATTTTGTATACTCTATTTTGTTATGTCCATATATTGCAACGTTGCGGTCAATTCAATAAAGTTACGTATGTGGACTAAGTGAATAAACAATGGAAAATGTTTAAAGCCTAAACGTAGCATCAAAGAATATAACATTAGGAGGTGAATGTGAGTTTATGTTGTTTGCTTCGTTGTTTGTTCCAACCGCAATTCAAGGAAAGAAAAGTTTTATACACGAGTCATATTGGTAATTAATATTATTTAATAAAAAATATACAATAAAAAAGTTTAGTATTTCTCCCATCACTTATAACTTGAAATGATGTCATTTTAAGTTTAGGAAAAAAAATTCAGTATATTTTGAAAAAAATTTATATTGTAAGAGAGAAGTAAAATTTTCAAAACACACATAATTTTATTCCAAACTCCAGATTTGTAGAAAATACCTTTATTTTTGTGATAGGAGAAATATTTTTCTTTTAAAAATATAGAAAGTAAAAAAAGTGTGAAAAATAAATAAATAAATAAAACAATAACATATTTCTTTTAAGTGCTAGTTTTTTTGCCCTGTTTTAATTAATTTACTCATGTGTTTTTATCATTTATATTTAATTAAAATTAAATAATTCATACTTATTTTATTCTAAGAACAACATAATTTGGAGTCCTTTTTAGGAAATTCGTGTGAGTGAAATTTCTTCCATCAAGTTAAAATTTAAATTTTTCTGTAAATTATTTTTCAAAAAAATATTTTTGCAGTTAATGCAGATAAGTTATCTGTATTTACTTCCAAAAATGTCGTTTTATGATTGAAAGATTAAAAAATTATAATTATAAAGACTATAATTACCTTGAAATAAATTAAAATTACAAAAATACCATAATTTTCGTCTCAAAATGACGTCATATTGAGCTTACTGCATATAACTTATTTGCAAGAAAAAGTGAACCCATTATTTTTATTTCATTTGTATAATATCGCAACCTAGGATAGGGCGTGTTACAGATGACATGAAGGATTTTTTAAACTTTCGCGCTAGGCATTCACATTAGTTCATACCAAGAATCAGTTGCGAAAGAAATTGAACACTCGGAGTATATAATAGATAATTAATTCTGTCATTCTTTTCTCCCTCTCTGACTTCTTTGTATGATTGTTTAGGAATAGGGATTATAACATGGATTCGAATGGTTTAGCATGGATCTTATAATGATTAGTACGAGCAAATATCGATCGTTCTATGGAAAATGTAACTGATCCACAATTTTATTTTATTTTGAAATATTTTAATCAATTCATCCTTGTATGACTTGTCCGATTTGGAGCATGTTCAATATTAAGACTTTACACCATTTCTAAAGATGGAACTTGAATGGATCAAACTTCATCTTGAATGTAATATAATCACATAATTCTAAGCATATAATAACAAACTTCATCTTGTAATATAATCACATAAAAAGGACATTAATCAAGTTATGCAGGAATTCAGGAGGGCACTTTAAAATGAATAGGTCAGGATATGGACCTTTGTTTCAGTAGGTCAGCCACACATGGTATTCTTTCAAAAGTAGAAAAGAAAAGGGAGTGAGAGAGAATTTTTAAAGAAGTGATAAACAAAAAAGAAAACATATTTTTTCAAAAATAAAAAAAGGACCACCGTAAAAAAAAAAAGGGTCCGGATCATTTTAAAAAATCCCCAGGATATGACAAAGGCACATAACATTAAACTTCATCCCCATATTTTTTTGCTGGTTTTATGTTAAAAAAATGGTTCTTGGAAATCTCACTGTGTCTCTAAGTATAGCTTTTTTATGTCTTGTTTTTCCATGACTATCAGTCTATGTCAATGTCCGTACCATAATAACAAGCAAAAGAAACCTTAAAACAGGAGAGATTCTTCAATAGGGGTCATTGTGAAGTCAAAAGATTTAATGGGTTATGAGATAAGTGGGCCCTACCTTTTCTTTTTCTGTTGACGAGTTTGGCCAGAGAGTGTGGTGTTTTCTACTATGGTCTGTCAAATAATGAGTGCAAACTGCAAAGTAAGCAGAAAATGCAAGAATGAGGCTACCTAAAATGTTTAAAATTATGCAAAGCATGAAATTCTTTGTTCTTTTCGGTTTCTTATTTATTTTTCAATTTTCTTAATTTCTTTGATCTTTCTGACTTGAAAAATAAATAAATAAAAGATATACAGCAATTGAATGGATGACAACGGAGATAACGCATAAACTTAAGTTTTTCTAATCTATGGTTAATATATTTTTTTCATACCTCACATTTATATTTAATTTGATTTTTACATAAATTTAGCTTTTGATTTAGTCCATTAATATGAATTTATTTTGAATTTAATTTTTATTATCTGTTATTATTACAATATCGTTTATTAAAAATAAATGTCTCGTAAAATGATAAAAACATGATATTTTTAATCCTAATACGTAACAATCATTTTGATTTGGTCTTATACTTTGCAGTGGTGTTATATAACAATCACAAACGACGAAAATGAAATTAAAAATAGATATAAATAAAAAAATTGAATTAAACTTTTTTTCTGTGATGGGACTAAATTAAAGGTTTACAAAAATTCGAACCATAAATTATTAATGCATTACTTAATAACAATTTTATTGTATATTTGTTTGTTTTCCTGAAATAGAAGGAAAGGATGTGCATGTACTTTTCATATGAAATGTAAAATAGTAAAGTACATTACAAAAAGAATACTTTTACCGGAACCAAATTGTATATACATTATTGTATATTTGTATTTTACATCCATTTTTTTCTTTTATTTCTTATGCGATTATAACGCAGTTTCAAAATTTGCATTACAAGAACACAAGTTACCTCAGTGGTCTAAGATATTGGTTTCACCATCCTTCCATTGTCATTGTCTTTATAGCGCCCGTTGGTACTGTAGCCAGCTAAAAAGAAAATCCTAAATGGGGCCAAGCAACGTAGGAAACCCTGCAGTTCATGATGACTGCATTAACCTTACAGAGTCACGCACTTTGCCACTAAAACCTATAAAATGACAAGACACCCTTTGAGCCTAACTTTTCCAAATTCCGATCAATCATACAGAAGAAGTATAGAAAATTATAAAACAGCACCACGTGATGTGATGATATTTATTGTTTGATTATTTGGACTTCAAAAATAAAAAATGATTTGTGATTCTTCAATTATAAAGTCTCCAAAATCAGGAATTATTGTCCACATTTAATCTTAAAAAATTGTACAGAGTAAGTTTTAAAAATTAATGTTGTTATTTTATTTTAAATAAATAATAACTCATAAATTTCAATGCCACTTACTTATCTCATATCTAAAATAATTGTATATCAACTTTTTATTAGTTTTGTTTAAATAAAAGGTGCTTTTTATGCTAACAAATAATTATTCCAGTTTAATAAAAAATTTAAGTGAAAATAGAAATAATAATGATTAGATAATAAGTATAAAATTAAATTAGTTTAAATGAAAATTTATATCAATATAAAATGTTAAAAACGAAAGATATTCCTTTACTAGAATAAATTCAGATCAAAGTTATTGCCCTTCAAGAAAACTATTATGGACTCCTCAAGTCAACGAAAAAGCCCAAAAGGGCTAATAAATGAAGTAAATGCCCTCCACATTGAGATTGACTATACTAAAACAAACTTATAACATCCATGATCTATCCCCCCCACCGTAGAATGCCACAAAAGAAGATTAAATCCACAAGAGGAAGCTTAGGTTAGCGTCATACTTCTGCAGGCATTGCAAAATGTTGCCTTGGCATCTTTGTTGATAACATTTCTTGCATTGCACCCAAAATCTTGCCAGGTCCCTCCTCAAATTGCATGTAATCATTCTTTAAACTTTGTCCTGAGAAGCTTGTTTGTGAGACAGTGGCAGCCCCTTGGGATGCTGTGAAGTTTGCAGTATTCTCAGTTACTACGGCACCACAATTCTCGAGGCCACTCTTGATCCAAGCCATATTGTTTAAGTCTGTAGCAATCGAAATCAATTCATGACTTGAGAAAGAGGGGGACTCCAAATAGTCAACAAACTCAGGACCTAATAGTGAACCATGAGAATGGCTTTCCCCCAACTCTGCTGCACAGCAGCCATGACCGCATTGCAATGGAATCATGGGCTCACATCCAATACCATCAAATAACTTGCAGGCTCCTACGTCTGGTTTGGGTGGTTGGATCAAAGGGCTCTGCCTTGGAAACATCTTTGAACATGATGCAGTTGTTGGCCTGCCAGGAGGATTATAAACATTAAATGCACTAACACGTGCTACTGGTCGACAAAGGGTAGGATGTCCCTCCACTTCAGCACCATCTTTTCTTGGAATTTTATCTTCACACTGTTTAATTTCACCATCCATCACGACATTTCTAACATCTGCTCGATTCAATGAATTGATATCCCCGATTGACATGGTTTCTTCAGATGATGCCTTTGTTTTCTCAAAGCTACCATTTTCCAACACATCAGCATGTGCTGGAACATATCTACCCAGTTCCACACACCTGCGTTTCAGTGTAGAATTCCAGTGGTTCTTAATGGCATTATCTGTTCTACCTGGAAGAAGCCTTGCAATTACTGCCCATTTGTTTCCATGGATTGCATGGGCTGAAACAATGATACTATCCTCTTCATCTGCAACAATTAAATTTTCATTAGATTTTGATAATTGACAGCCATAATATTCATAATGGGTGGCTAATTGTCAATTAAATGATTACAAATTTACTTCAAAAGAATATATAGCATACAATACGAAAATTCACTGGTGAAAAAGATACAATACGACAAGTCTGATATGAACTTTCCATAGAGTAGGTAGGCAGCAACTATCAAGATTTTTCTTTTCATTCAATTCAAGCATATAACAAACCAACACAACAACCTGTTTGCCTCTTGTATTTAAAATTTTAAACATTAATGATGTTCTTCATATTGTATTTTATTTTTGAAATTCATGGGTATTATAAACCAAGCATTGATTCTCAGAGACCACAAAATATGGTTTTTGTTTCCGGTTTCCCTATTAATATATAATGTTGATTTGTTATGGATTTTCTTCTCTAAGAAATTATGAACTTCCAGAGACTACTAGTCCTCCATTTACCTCTTCTCATGAATTTCCTTCCATAAATCAAAGGGTTATAGCTATTGTGCAACATCTTGCTGTTATATCTGGCATTCTCTCATAGTTATTTATGGGTTTGCAGCAATTCCATGGAAGAAGACTTGAATATGGTTTTTAACTAATCTGTTGTAATGTCAGAGGGGAATTCAGTTTCGATGCGCATACTCATAAGTATGTCTCAACTGGTAGAATAGTAATGTAGCAGAAAGTTAAGTAACAGTGTAACCGACTTAGAAAAAAAAATCTGAAGGCAGAGATTCAGGCTTGATTCTGGTAACTCTTGCGCATTTCTTTTATTATATTGTTCATCACTATAATAAGTAGTTTGCTTATAGGAATATGGGAGAATCTGAAAGAGACGTCCCATCAATATAATAGCTCAAAAAGTTATGCTATTATCTGTTTGAAATAATAAATGAAAAACTCTGAAAGCAGCAAAGAAAAGAGGAAAGCTCCATTGAGTTGTTTGCCAATGGGTCTTTTTCAGAAGTGATACCAGACAAAAACTACAAGCTAGGACTCAATGGTGCTCATACCTCAAGTGACACAAGCATACCAAGGATTTACAAGCTGTCTTACGATAAACAATAGTATTAACATAATATCAGTGCTTAAAATAGATCATATAACTTCTAGATAATAATAACCAGGATAAAAAGTTACAAACAGCCAGTGACATCTCAACAATGTGCGAGAGAACAGTCATTTTTGTGATTGTATTCTTGATCAAAATCAAGTAAATACAAAGAAAGTAAGACTCACATTTGCTGAATACTTAGCAAGTAAAACAAACTAAATAACCAAATTTAACAATGCTTCAGAAAACTACCAGCCTTACCAAAACAAAAGTGGTAACTAAATTAAAAAATTTAATATATTCATTTAATTATAATTCTAATATAATAGCCCAAAAATATAGTATATTCAGTTCATAAGAAATTTGTATACTGTCAAAGGATAAGGTCCTCACTGGTCGTTTCACTTTCATATAGTCAATAATTGGCAAGATTGCAAGCTCCGCCAGGTGAAAGGCATGTTCCCATTATAGAAAAACTGTAGCCTCTAGGCATAGCCCAAAAACTTAGTTAACTAAGTAGCATGGCTATCTGAATTTCAACCAAATGATCATCATATAGGTTGATAAAGGAGATAGTAATGGATTGGACAATGTCTGACAGCATGAGATAATAATAGATATACAAAATGATTAAACAAATACCAAGTATCAAAATAGTGATGAAGCTAAAACTGCTTGGCGACTCTGACACCACTATGCCAATTCCTGATTCTCTTTTGATTGCTTCTTACTACATAAGCTGGTTCAAATATAGTTGCAATGAATTGAATTAACACGCTAAAACAACACGGAGAAAAACTTCAACGCAAGAAATAAAACACAGTATTTTCACCTGCCACTATAAAATGCTCTTCGGAGCACTTTTGAAACTGGAACAAATCTAAAAATAGAGTTAAAACTATGGGATTATCATTTCTGCTTCGGTGATAGAAATTTTTTTTCTGCCACTATGACATAAAACAATGAGAGAAAAAGCATAGAGGAACGAGAGAGAAAACAATGATGGGCCCATTCCTTTTTATGTCTTTTGCCACTGAAGCAGAAATGATAATCCCTAAAACTATATAACAAAATAGACATCGGTTCAAAAAAAAAAATGCCAGACATACTTCATGAGGAAAAGCCAAAATCCCATTTTGTTCCAGAGAATATATCGTTTACTTGCATTTTAATATACGTATATTACTCAATTGTAAATTGGAACACTTTAAAAACTTACATAAATGCAAAAATGTCAATGAAAAAAAGAAGAAAAAGGATATGAAAAAATAATTTAAGCCAACAAGCGGAACACACAAGTCTTTCCCTTGCTAACATAGGTTCAGAAAAGCATATATGGCCTTAAAAATTTTAAAGTCATGCAAAAATAAACTAATTAACAGCTATATACGGATAATTTGCCATTAAATATTAGGATTCATTCTATGACAAAATATTACAAGTGTGGCTGTTTTTACAGTATCTCTTAGCAGCTTCCAAGTTTGTGATACAATCAAGACAAAAACCTTCCTTCATAAACAATGAAACAAGGATATGCAAGAGGAACAGCCTTAAGCATTCAATCTAAAATAAACAAATACATCTTTAGACCAACATCAAGAAATACATATATAGTTAACTTTAATATCTTTAAATATTTAAATTAAAGAAAAAACACACACTCCTAGTCTTAAACCTTGTACCCTAATTCTAAACATCCACTAAAACACAGTGTGTGAGAAATGGAAATTACCAGTAAAAGGCTTGCGTTTTACAGAAGGGTCCAGCTGATTACACCACCGGAGCCGGCACGACTTACCGGACCTCCCGGGAACTCCTCGGGCTATCATGCTCCAATTCCTCGCCCCGAACTGTTCCACCAATCGGCTCAGCACTGCGTCTTCCTCGGGAGACCAAGGCCCCTTCACTTTACCGGCGACATAACAGTCACCGACCACCGATACCTCAGCATCACCGCCAGCAAGCTCCAACACCTCTCCGCCGCTGCTTCCGCCGATGAGTTCCGTGTTTGCGACTCCATTGCGAGCGGTTGGCTCGACGGAGCGGTCTTCTTCGGTCATGGCGGTTGTTGGTTGTTTCGCTATGTGTTACTGTCAGTTTTTTATTTTTTCAGCTCTCTCTTTAACTTTCTCTCTCTAACTAACTGCAGATCGATTGGGCACACGCAAAATGTTTCGCCTTCTTATTTGCCCATTATGTAATCCACTTTTCTTCAATTGACGAATTTGTCCCCATGCTGTCAACGATGAAACGACGCAGTTTTGAGAGAAACTCGGGAGACATGCGTCTGTGCCCTTTTGGAAACGTACATTCCCTTGGTTATTGACACGTCAGATTGTGTGTTTCGAAACGATCCCTGTTTGAATGTGATTTACCTAGGACCGTGAAAACGGAGATACGAATTTGATACGACACGAATACATCAACACTAACACGACATGAATTTTTATTCATGTCAAAATCTTCAACACTGACACGACATGGATTTTTTGAGGGGTTGAGTTGATAAAAAATTTTGAAAAAAATGATTCGAAATTAAAATTTTTTAAAAAAATAATAATAATAAAATAAAATAATTAAATAAAAATACGAGTCAACACGAACACGAATACATCAACACGCACCGACACAAATTTTTTATGTATCATTTTTTCCAATATGAACACGACACAAATTTTTTTACGGATCAATCCAAACACAAATTTTTGTATTGTGTCGCGGGTCAACCCACGTGTCTTGACCCTATGAAACGAAACAACTGCCGTCGAGATTTGAATTTTGTCGTTGAAGAAGTTATCGTATTTCCCGGATTATGAGTTAACCCTTCCAATCCAGCCCATTATTCTTTGGACCTTGTTCTTAGAATGGCAGCCAAGTTGTAAAGCCCTGTTTAGTTTTGCTTGTTTGTTTCCCTGTATTTCAAAATAAAAAGCCCAGCGCTGTTCGACTACCATATGAACCAAAAATGTCAATACATAAAACAGATGAAACCATTGTTAAATCTAGGGCCGGCAAAATGGGAGCGGCGTGGCAGCCCAAGCCATCTAGCCGGCCAAATGGAGCGGCATGGGTCAAGTTTTGCAATTTGTCAACCTATCTAACCCGTTAATCCGTCGGGCTGAGTTTTTTATTTTTATATTTTTAGGGTTTAGAGTTTAAGTTTTAGAAGTTAAATAATCTATCATACTCTTAAAAGTGGAATAAGTCAGGTTGACTCATTTTTTGGAGAGTTAATGACTGGGCGGGGCAAGGTGCCTGCTTTGCCACCTTTGAGTGTGAGATAACATTTTGTAGTTACTTACAACTTCGAAAACATTAAATAAATAAATATAGGGTTTATTGAGAATTAATAATTAATTAATATGTTTGATTCCAATAACTGATAAACGTCAATTTGGTAGAAATCAATGGTTAGAATTTAATGTCAAATGATCATGCATATATATATATATATATATATATATGGGCAGGATATTCTTACACTGGTGTAAGAGTTACAAGTCTTACACTCAATCTTGACCATAGATTCATTTGTATCCAATGACTCACATTCCAAAAAAAGTAGAGCTCTTAGATGAAAGTGAGATCAACGGACAAGATTGAGAGTGTAACTTACACTGGTGTAAAAGAATCCTGACCTATATATATATATATATATATATATATATATATATATATATATATATATATATATATATATACTTTACTATTCTTCAGCCTCCTGACGTCTAGTAAATAAATTTCGGGAATCATAATCATACAAATATGAGTGAAAGCATTAAATGCGGGAAATCATAATTAATCAACAGTGTATGATTTATTGTTGGACGTCCAGCAGCCGGAGAAATTATATATATATATATATATATATATATATATCTATATATATGAGAAAAATATTTCTCAAGCAACTTGAGGAGGTATATATATATATATATATATATATATATATATATATATGAGGTAGGATCCTTTGACATCTGGTGTCAAATTTTAATTTTGACACCTCATCTAAGAGCCGTTAGATAAAAAAAGATCAACGACTCTGATTTGCAAGCATGTGACACCATTGATCTTTTTTTATCTAACGGCTCTTAGATGAGGTGCCAAAATTGAAATTTGACACCGGTGTCAAAGGATCCTACCTCTATATATATATATGGGCTTATCGTTTCTCAAGCTGCTTGAGATAATCTTATCTCTAGCTACTAAATCATAACCGTACAAAGATGGATCAATGGTGATAAAGGAAGAGAGAGAAAAAAAGAATCATAACCATTCAAAGATCAATCAATTGATATAAGGAAATAAATAAATAAAACGACGTAGTTTTAGGGTAGCCGGAGATAAATTTATCTCAAGCTGCTTGAGCAATGTTTTTCCCTATATATATATGGGCTTATTGCTTCTCAAGCTGCTTGAGATAATCTTATCTCCGGCTACTAAATCATAACCGTACAAAGATGAATCAATGGTGATAAAGGAAGAGAAAGAAAAAGAGAATCATAACCATTCAAAAGTGAATCAATTGATATAAAGAAATAAATAAATAAAACGACGTAGTTTTAGGGTAACAGAGATAAACTTATCTCAAACTGCTTGATAAATGTTTTTCCTTATATATATAGGATCCTTTGACACCAGTGTCAAATTTAAAACTTGACATCTCATCTCAGAGTCATTAGATCAAAAAAGATCAATGGTGTCACATGTTTACAAATCAGAGGCGTTGATTTTTTTTTATCTAATGGCTCTCAGATGAGGTGTCAAATATCAAATTTGACACTGGTGTCAAAGGATCCTACCTCATATTTTCCATATATATACTTGAAAGCATTAAATGCGGGAAATCATAACCATACAAATGATGAAAGCATTAAATGTGGAGAATCATAACCATACACATGTCATTGTTGTACGTAAAGTGGCTGCAAAAATAATTTTATATATATATATACAACTGTGTCAAACTTTGAAATTTGACACCAAATCCTATCAGTTGATTTTCGTCAATCAACGATTATCATTTGTTGGGAATCAAACTTATTAATTAATTAATAATTTCAAATAAATAATAATCGTTGATTGGTAAAATTCAGCAATTAAGATTTGATGTCAAATTTTAAAATTTAATACCAGAAAAAAGAATATATGCCTTCAATAACTATTACTATTAGGTATTGAAGCTTAAGATGTACTCTTTACGTTTTCTTTACTCTGTATCACTCACATGATCCCTTTGTCTCTCTGTCTATCCGATATTGATTGGCATAGTCATATTTGGTCATGGCTAGTGCCAAACCAAACCAACTAACCAAAATTTGCTTTCCATAAACTCTAATTCCTAAATCTTTTTCTTTCTATTTATCTCTCTGTTTTGTTTTGTTTTTAATTTTTATTTTATTGAAAAGCTAAATTAAGAAAGAAGCTTGCTATGGATTATTACCAATAATGAAGGAGCAGGATTGCAAGCTTTAAAAACATGAGCTTGCATTGCAACCAGCCGTATTGCCTGGACCCTAGTGAATTTGCAAACTAAGAGGACCACATAAGAAAGTAGATGCAACAACTGATTGGGCTTTTCCCTTTTTCCAAGACAGACACAACTACACAAGTGCCATCCGATGGAACAGTGACCATTTTGTCACGTTTGAACAAAAAAATTACCAGACTACCACGCCAACAGTAAATTTTGTCAAAATGCCACGCGACATAATTCGCTATACACAGTGTAGCGAATTATGCATGCAAGTATTTCGCTATATAGTATAGCGAAATATGCCACGTCAGAACCAAAAATGCTACATGTCAAATTTTGAGAAATTCGCTACCCTATGTAGCAAATTTCTCAAAATTTGACACGTGGTATTTTTGGTTCTGTGCATTCTGACGTGGCATATTTCGCTACACTGTGTAGTGAATTACTTGCATGCATAATTCGCTACACTGTGTAACAAATTATGCCGCGTGACATTTTGGCACAATTTACTGTTGGCGTGGCAGTCTGGTAATTTTTTTGTCCAAGCGTGGCACTTTAGTCACTGTCCCGCCATCCGATTCCCTTTCTTTTCTTTTTTTACTGTTCAATCTGGGATTGTAATTTGTTGTACAAGATCTCATTGATGTGACTAGGATTCGCATAATCCTAGTATAAGTGAAACTAGCCTACTCCACTGGGGTTTTGGAAGATTGCAACTTTGCAAGAGACTTCACTTCACATATCGAGGAACAGTGACCAAAATGTCATTGTTTCCCAATTTTTTTACCTAAATGCCACGCCAACAGTATTAATTCTCAGTATGCCACGTGGGCAAGTTCGCTACCTGAGGTAGCGAACTTGATTGTAATTATTGCACCTGCACGTTTCTGTTTGCCACGTCACATGGCAGACATGCAACGATGTTCGCTGCCCCCTAGCGAACTTCGTTGCATGTCTGCCACGTGTCATCATGGCAAGTGAAAACGTACAGGTGCAATAATTGCAACCAAGTTCGCTACCCTATGTTGCGAACTTGGTGTCTACTAGGAACGTGACACGTCAGCAAACTGTGTTCGCTACAGTGCCCAACAAACTTGCCCACGTGGCATATTAGAAATTAACACTGTTGGTGTGACATTTAGGAAAAAAAGTTAAGGAACAGTGATATTTTGGTCACTGTTCCACATATTGAAGGTTGTATTTTCCTAGGTTAATTTTTTTAATTTGAAAATACGTAATAAAATTTAGGTAACTAAACATTTTAAAAAAAGTATTAAAACCATTAATTTTTTTTTTCAAATTTAAAAAAAATTCTAAAAATAATCATAAAGCACTTTATTTTTTTAAAAAAAATATTGATCTAAACACTTGAACAGCAAACGGTAAACTTTTAAATTACAGGTGGGTGCGGTTGTCATAAACTGCTAATAGTTGTAGCAATTATGGGACGATTGTTATGAAAATTGAAAGGACGAAGGTAGTGTTTGGTTGAAGATTTATTTTGGGATTGATGGGAAAGTATAAGTGGATATTGAAAAATATCACGTTTGGTTCAGGTTTTTTCAAAAAATAGCAGGCAAATAGGATAGATGGGAAAATGACTTTTGTGTTGATTTTTGGATGAAATTCACTGTTACAGAATACCACTTGAGATGTGGTATTTTGAGA